ACAAATTCTTCTCCTCATGTTTTAGCCCTATATTTCTGTTTTATGTGTTTGGAGGGGAGCCAGTGTACCTCAACTGAGCACCTGAGTCAGCAATGGGGGCAGCTTAGAGAACAGTACATGTCCAAAAATATCCAGAGATAAAGCGAATTCAGCTGCTTTGATGCTCTTTGTTTTGGAGGAAACGTTGGATGTGCAGGTGTCTACAAACGTCTGAGTGTATGTTGCTGAATTCACTAAGTGGAAGGGGTGTGTTGATACTTTTGGACACATTTCCTTTTATCTTTGCCTCCCAAACTCACATTTTTGGGCCAAACCTGTAAATCTGATGATCTCTCTCTCTAAAGCCGTGATGAAATACAGTGTTTCGGGTTTATAAATTGTCTCTCTGCCACAAAAACGATGGCTGTCATATCTAAACCTCTTAACTCTGTGCTAAGTCTAATCAATATATCTGATATTACTCTGTATGAGATACACCGATCAGGCATAACATTATGACCACCTCCTTGTTTCTACGCTCATTGTCCATTTTATCAGCTCCACTTACTATATAGGTGCACTTTGTAGTTCTACAGTTACAGACTGTAGTCCATCTGTTTCTCTGCATACTTTGTTAGCCCCCTTTTACCCTGTTCTTCAGTGGTCAGGACCCCCATGGACCCTCACAGAGCAGGTACTATTTGGGTGGTGGATCATTCTCAGCACTGCAGTAACACTGACATGGTGGTGGTGTGTTAGCGTGTGTTGTGCTGGTACGAGTGGATCAGACACAGCAGTACTGCTGCTTTTTAAACACTGTGTCCACTCACTGTCCACTCTATTAGACACTCCTACCCTGTCGGTCCACCTTGTAGATGTAAAGTCAGAGACGATAGCTCATCTGCTGCTGCACAGTTTGTGTTGGTCATCCTCTAGTCCTTCATCAGTGGTCACAGGACGCTGTTGGCTGGATATTTTTGGTTGGTGGACTATTCTCAGTCCAGCAGTGACACTGAGGTGTTTAAAAACTCCAGCAGCACTGCTGTGTCTGATCCACTCAGACCAGCGCAACACACACTAACACGCCACCACCACGTCAGTGTTACTGCGGTGCTGAGAATGATCCACCACCCAAATAGTACCTGCTCTGTGAGGGTCCATGGGGGTCCTGACCACTGAAGAACAGGGTAAAAGGGGGCTAACAAAGTATCAGAGAAACAGATGGACTACAGTCTGTAACTGTAGAACTACAAAGTGCACCTATATAGTAAGTGGAGCTGATAAAATGGACAATGAGCGTAGAAACAAGCAGGTGGTCATAATGTTGCCTGATCGTTACACAAATGTGTTGGTTTTTGTGATAACAGTGAATTCAGCATGGGCTGTTTTGCAGCTTAGTTTCCACATATGGGCTGTTTGAACCACTTGATACATTTTAAAACTTTCTACATCAAACTCATCACTAAATAGGTGAGGAAAATGGCATTTTTCACAATATGGGCCCTTTAAGGATGTCTTTTCTTGGCCTGACTGACCTGATTGAGTTCTTTGAGCTGCCTCTCGCTCAAGCAGGGTAAAATGGCTTGTCTCAGATGTTTGAGAAGCGCTGACTGTAGATGTAGTGACCGCAGCGGAGGGGCAAAGGGGTGATCTCGACTGTAGTGGGGCGTGGCTGCTTCCTCTGCACACCCCCTCCCCGCTCCCCACCACACACACATGCCAATAGAGCCAATGGAGATGGTACGACCTCTCAGAACTCAGCCTTCCTCTCTGCACACAGCCCACCCCCACAAAGCCCCGTAGCGCTGAATCATCAGGAAAAAAGTGCAAGCAGATGCAGCTTCGCCAAGAACGCTCCCCCCTGATTTCTCTCTTTTATCAGTGTAATACGAGATCTGCTATATGGAGCTATGACATGTCCCTTTAATCTCCTGTACACGTGTGTGGGTGCGTGTTCGTTTTTAGCACTTTGTGAGGACCAAACGGACCTTCGGGATGATGGGAGACCATGAAGTGAAGACATTTCGCTGCTTTTTTCACGAAAAAATGCCATTTTCACCACAGATGTAGCTTGAAAAGAGCCAATTGAGCCTTTTTGGTTATGAAGGATAAAGATTGGGTTTGGCTGTAGCTACAGCTACAGTAATAAAGAAGGCAATATAAGTTCTGCAACTGGAGTGGGACCCCCTGGAGCAGCTGCACTGGAGCTTTAGGTCTCCATGCCCACTGCCAAGTGGTATAAACCCCCCAGCATTGGGCTGTAAAGCAGCTCCTTTCTCTGGAGTGATGGAGCTCCGCCCAGTACACTCTTAAAAAAGACCTTCAAGGGTTCTTTAGGAAAGAAAATGGCTCTATATAGAACCATGAATGCTCAAAGAACCCTTTGCATGAATAAAAGCATTCTTTGCATCATGAAAAAGTTTGTGCTGTAGATGGTTCTATATAGAACATTTTAGAAAAGGGTTCTATGTAGGACCAAACAAGCCTGACATACAGCTCTGTGTTATTAGGATTAACTTCCTCATTTAAAAGGCTAACTTCACTGATATTGGAAGCTACACACTTAAAAAGATGGTTCTTCAAGGGTTCTTTAGGAAAGAAAATGTTCTATATAGAACCAGGAACACTCAAAGCACCCTTTGTATGATTAAAGGGTTCTTTGCATCATGAAAGAGTTCTTCCGACTGAAGGAGACTGTGCTGTAGATGGTTCTATATAGAACATTTTTGAAAAGGGTTCTATGTAGGACCAAAAGGGTTCTAACAAGCCTGACATACAGCTCTGTGTTAGATTAGTTTCTCCATTTAAAAGACAAACCTCACTGACATTGTAAGCTAGACACTTAAAAATTATGGTTCTTCAAGGGTTCTTTAGGGAAGAAAATGTTCTATATAGAACCATGAATGCTCAAAGTACTCTTTGAATGATTGAAGGGTTCTCTGCATGGTGAAATGGTTCCTTAGCCTGATGGAGAATGTGCTGTAGATGGTTCCATACAGAACCTCTTTGAAAAGGGTTCTATGTAGGGCCAAAAGGGTTCTAACAAGCCTGACATACAGCTCTGTGTTATTAGGATTAGCTTCCTCATTTGAAATGCAAACTTCACTGATATTGGAAGCTACACACTTAAAAATGATGGTTCTTCAAGGGTTCTTTAGTAAAGAAAATGGCTCTATATAGAACCATGAACGCTCAAAGAACCCTTTGCATGATTAAAAGGGTTCTTTGCAGCATGAAAAAGTTCTTCAGACTGATGGAGAACGTGCTGTAAATGGTTCTATATAGAACATTTTTGAAAAGCGTTCTATATAGCACCCAAAAGGGTTCTTCCACTGTTATAAGCTTGACACCATAACAATAAAAGAGCCCTTTTGGGTGCTATATAGAAGCATTTTCAGTCTGAAGAACCATTTCACCATTTTATCATGCAAAGAGTACTTTGAGCATTCATGGTTCTATATAGAACCATATTCTTCCCTTAAGAACCTTGAAGAACCATCATTTTTAAGTGTGTAGCTTCCTCTATCAGTCAAGTTTGCATTTTAAATGGAGAAGTTAAGAAGTGTCAGGCTTGTTAGAACCCTTTCGGTCCTATATAGAACCCTTTTCAAAAAGGTTCTATATGAAACCATCTACAGCACATTCTCCATCAGGATAAGGAACCATTTCACCATGCAAAGAACCCTTTAATCATGCAAAGAGTACTTTGAGCATTCCTGGTTCTATATAGAACATTTTCATCCCTAAAGAACCCTTAAAGAACCATCTTTTTAAATCTGTAGCTTACAATATCAGTGAAGTTTGCATTTTAAATGGAGAAATTAATCTTATTAACACAAAGCTGTATGTCAGGCTTGTTAGAACCCTTTTGGTCCTATGCAGAACCCTTTTCAAAAAAGTTCTATATAGAAAGATCTTGCATGTTCTCCATCAACCTGAAGAACCATTTTACCATGCAAAGAGTCCTTTAAGCATACAAAGGGTTCTTTGATTGTTCATGGTTCTATATGGGACCATTTTCTTCCCTAAAGAACCCTTAAAGAACCATCATTTTTAAGTGTCTAGCTTACAATGTCAGTGAAGCTTGCCTTTTAAATGAAGAAACTAATCTAACACAGAGCTGCATGTCAGGCTTGTTAGAACCCTTTTAGTCCTATGCAGAACCCTTTTCAAAAAGGTTCTGTATCATGAAAGGGGGGCTTTGAATGTTCATGGTTCTATACAGAACCATTTTCTTTCCTAAAGAACCCTTGAAGCACCATCTTTTTTAAGAGTGTACCTTTGGGATGGGTTGGAGTGATCCAAAACATCGGTGCCTGACCTCACCAATGCTCTTGTGGCCGAATGCAATCAAATCCTCACAGCAATGTTTCCAACATGTAGTGTAAAGCCTTCGCCCCAGAGCAGAGGCTGTTACTGCAGCAAAGGAGAACAAACTCCTCATTAACATCCTCGGGTGAGCTTGTCTATGAACTCCTGGGTGTGTGTCCGCATGTCTCTGGGTGTGGCAGGGGCAGAGGATGGTGTTCAGGGTCAGGATTTTCAGGTCTCATTCAGTATTCAGCCACTGCGGTGGGCAGGCGTGAGGGGGGAGCGGCCTGCGGAGCCAGTCAGACGCTCCGCACTGCTCCCCATCCCATCACACAGCAGCCGCTGGAGCCTGCAGTCCTGCATCACCTCATGATTTCACTCAGGGGACCTGTGACCACTGTGCGACTGCAATGCATGCGCAACACCTTAAAGAGGATCCCAGAGAACCCAGTAAACAAACAAACTGCAGTCACTGTTCTTTCTCCACTGCTCTGACCTCTGAGTGGTCTGTCTCGGTTCCTCTGCAGCATCCTAATGTTCCTCAAGCTGTAGGAGCGAGGCAGGGAGCAGAGGGGGCAGGAAAGGTGCACGTGCGCTCCCTTGGGGGTGGGAGGGGGGGGCAACTGGCGCGTGCTGGCAGTGATGGGGTGACTTTTTTTTCCTTTTTTTCTGCCCAGTGCAGCAGGATCTCCTCTGTGCTGCCGCTGCGTCTCTGCGTCAGATGACGCTCAGCCCTGAGCTCCATATATATATATAGAGGGTCCGGAGCGCACGAGCGCGCACCGTCTCTCCTCCGTCACTCACTCACTCACTCACTCCTCTCTCCTCTCGCTCTCTCCATCCGCAAAGAGAGAAAAGCAAGAAGCATGACTTTTTCCGGAGACCTGTACTCGAGCAGCTCGTACCGGCGGATATTCTCGGACGCCCCCCGGCTGTCCTCGCGCGGCCCGGCGGGCTGCCCCACGGCGTCCCGGCTGCATGCGAGCCCCAGGCTGGGTGCGCGCCTCGCGCTGGACGCCTCGGTGGACTTCGCGCACACGGCGGCCGTGACCAACGAGATGAAGATCATCCGCACGAACGAGAAGGAGCAGCTGCAGGGCCTCAACGACCGCTTCGTGTGCTTTATCGAGAAGGTGCGCGCGCTCGAGCAGCGCAACCGCGCGCTGGAGGCCGAGGCCGCGGCGCTGCGCGAGCGCCACCGCGAGCCCTCGCGCCTCCGCGACCTCTACGAGCGCGAGATGCGCGAGCTGCGCGCCCGCGGCGACGAGCTGGCGCGCGACGCCAGCCGCCTGCGCGTGGAGCGCGCGCAAGCCGGCGAGGCGCTCGAGCGCGCCAAGGAGCAGCTGGCCGAGGAGACGCGGCGGCGCGAGGAGGCGGAGCGCGGCGCGAGCGCCTGCAGGAGGGAGGCCGAGGAGGCGGCGCTGGCCAGGCTCGAGCTGGAGAGGAGGGTGGAAGCGCTGCTCGAGGAGATCGACTTCCTCAGAAGGGTGCACGAGGAGGAGCTGCGCGAGCTGCAGGCGGCGCTGCAGGCCACGCAGGTAAAAAAAAAGAAGTCTAGAACCTGGTTCTACATAGCACCAAAAAGGCTCTTTATAGAACAATATACAACATCAATCTGAGGAATCACTATGCATTTAAGCATGAAACAGTTCTACATATGACTCAGGGGTTCTAAACAGAACCGTTCCCTTCAGTAAAGAACCCATGCAGAACCCTCTTTTTAAGTGTGCAGTTTACACTGGTGAGCCGAGTCTGCGGCTGTGCGCGAGGCTGGTGGGGTGAATCATTAATAAGGGCGGTTTGTCCTGACTGAGACTCCAGTCTGCACTGCAGCAAACATAACGAGGACCGGGCAGCATTAAAACGCGCGTTCACGGCTCGGTGTGTGAACAGAGCGATAGAGATAAAAGAAAGAGAGGAAAAGAGAAAGAAAGAGGGAGGATGGAAAGAGCGAGAGAGAAAAACGCAGAGAAAAGAGCGAGAGTTGTTGGGGCAGTAAAGTTGCAGCGCTCTCTCAGTAGCGCAGGATTCTAGGTGTGGCCCCGCGCTCTGATTGGCTGCTAGAGTCCCGGGCTGCTCCTCAGAGTGAACTTACGGGCCAATCGCAGCGCAGGAGGGCGGGGCCAGGCGAGGATCTATCGCTAAAGCGCAGCAGTCAGCATGACTCGTGCTAGAGCAAGAAACGAAGCGTATAGGTTTAAATAAACAGATCTAAACATATATATTGTGGTGTATACACACACACACACACACACACACACACACACACACATATATATATATATATATATATATATACATATATATACATATATATATATATATATCTATATACCACATTATATATCCAAAGGACCTCTAATTCATGAGTGCAGCTGCTTTAGTTGTAGCCATTGCTAACACAGGTTCAATTGTGCACACAGCTATATATAATCTCTATAGGTAAGCACTGACCATAAGCATTAGTGAGCATGAGCATTAGAGTGGGATGCCTTGGAGCCTAAGATCACCATGCCCAATGCCAAGCGTGGGCTAAAGGGGCCAAGAGTGGGCTAGAGGGGTATAAAGCCCCCCAGCATTGGGCTGTGGAGCAGTGGAACTGTGTTCTCTGGCGTGATGGAACTCCATCCATTACCTTTGGGATGAGTTGGAGTGATCCAGAACTGACCATCCAGCATCAGTACTTGACCTCACTAATGGTCATGTGGCTGAATGCAACCATATCCTCGCCGCAATGTTCAACATCTAGTGTAAAGCCTTCCCAGAAGAGTAGAGGCTGTTACTGCAGCAAAGAGGGGCAAACTCACTATTAGTACTCTTCATTTCAGAAGAAACACTGCTGTCTACAAACTTTAGGGGGCCAGATTAAGACCCTTAGGTGCCCCTGGGCAGTAGAGCTTTGCTGTCCCTTCCTCACCTTTTGCTGACTAAGTTTTAGGATGGTTTTGCTGAAGTTAAGCTGGTTCTAAACTGCTTCTGGACATATAGCGCATATTATTTAATCTTATCCAGCTTCCTTACACTGTTAGAAATAAAGGTTCTGCTCAGGTACATTTTCCATTCATAAAGGTACAAACAATGTAAACGTGCCCTCAAAGGTGGTGGGTCCAGCTGTGAACCTTAAATAAGTTTTTCCAGGTGAAAAGACGGGGTGTGTGGAGTCAGTACAGCTTAGAACATATCATTTCAGTGGATTATGGTTCAGTTATGTTCCCTGACTAAAGGTACTGAGATGTACCCTTGAGGGTCGCACCCCAGTGACAAGAGGGGAATGCCCCAGTGACAGTTTACTACGTTTATTTCTATAAGTGCGCATGCACTTGTGGTGTATCTCTTCTGTTCTCTTCTCTTCTCGCTCGTTCAAACGCACCAGCTGCATCATCTGTTCTATGCGGGAGTTCTGAGTCAGCAGCTCTGATTAGAGCTCTCAGCGATTTAACCTCATTAACAGCTCTTCAGTTCATTACAGAAACCTATAGCAACAGCGTGTGGCTATAGATGCACTAATGCTTAACCTTAAAACCGCAAGCATTCAAATTTGAAGAGAGGATGAATATCGATTAGCTGTCCTATCCATGCTCTGCCCACAAATGCACTCATTTATATGGCAACTGTTGCTGTGTTGGGTAAGCTTTACAGAAAGTGCCAAACGACAGAGTGGTTTGGTGTGAAGTGGTTGATTGTAGAGAGTCAGATTTCTTTACAGTGGTGGTGATAGGAACCAGGCGTCACAATGACTACAACACAAGTATAGCCATTTTATTTACCATCCAAAACCACCAGTGAACCTACACGAGTCTTCTGAGTGTTTATATGGAATGGTGATGTTGATTAAAATAGTAGTAAATCTATTAAAAAAAAAGTTTTGGGGGGACTAATTTGCCTTATTACACCGTGCATGTATCTCTCCACCTTTAATGGATATTAAAAAGTACATTGCAGCCCAAAAGTTTATCTTAAAACAATTATAGAACAGTGTCTCAGACATCAGGCAGTGTATTCATATGCATTGTATGTAATAACTTTCTGAGCTTTTAGAGGTGGACGTCTGGTTCCTATCACCACCACTGTGAACGTTTCTGACTCTGTAAGTTGCTCTAGAATGGAACATTTTATGCCAAAGCACTCACACAAGCGCGGATGACTGGACGTTTAACATGTATTCAAATGTACTGGACTGAGCCGATTCTAATTCACCTTAACGTTAATTGCAATAAAGCCCTCAGAAGGCTAACCTAGGCTACTAGTCTGGCCATTATCATTAATAATTCCACACCCAGCACAGTGGTCAAGAACAGAGCTGATATTGGCAGCTCTTAGCTCCAGATGGTCCAGATGAAGGTCAGTCTGATGATGTAGTACTATCAGCTGGACATGCTTGTCCTCTGTGTTGTCCTAGTGCTGTTTCACGTAGGCAGATTTTTTCTACAGATGATGCTTTCAAAAAGTGGGATATAAAAATATCTAACAAATAAATTTATAATTAGAATTAGAAGGTAATTTCAAACTGTATTAGGGACAAAAAGATCATTTTGTAGAGAGGTGGAGCGTGACCCCAGTGCTCACAGCTGTAATGGATGCCTGTGACCGGACATCACTATCCAGCCGTGGCCATCTGTCCTAAGAATTATTATATAGAGATCAATACCCCAATACTGTACTTTGATTACCTGATCAATAATACTCAATCATTTGGTTGGAAAACCCCCCACACTGCCTCAAATATTCTCTTGAATATTAATTTTCTCTTGAAAAGCTCTTGTGTAAGGAGAATTCCATTACATTTTCAAAATTTCTGCACAGTTCAAATGTTGAGATGTAAACAGAGAGATTCAGAGTGGTTTGGTGTGAAATGGTTCAGATGTCTTTACAGTGCTGGTGATAGGAACCAGGGGTCGCCATGACTACAACACAAATATAGCCATTTTATTGACTATCCAAAACCACCAGTGAACCTACACGTGTCTTGTTGATGTTGACGATGGTCAAATAATGATAAATCTGATTTTTATCTTGTCTTTGAGGACAATTTGCCTCACAGTGCCCTGCATGTATCCCTCCACCATGAATGATTTACTACCGTAAAACAATGATCATCATCTATTAATGAATTAATCAACCAACAGGTATCCGTTGAGATGGACGTGAGTAAGCCGGATCTCGCCGTGGCTCTGAAGGACATCCGCGCTCAGTACGAGGTACTTTCGGCCAGGAACCAGCAGCAGGCGGAGGAGTGGTACCGTTCCAAGTTCGCCAGCGTCACCGAGGTCGCAGCCCGCAACACTGATGCCATAAAGCAGGCCAAAGATGAGCTGGGCGAGTACCGGCGGCAGGTGCAGGCGCGGACCCTGGAGTTAGAGGCCCTCAGGGGCCACAACGAGGCTCTGGAGCGGCAGCTGGCAGAGATGGAAGACCGCCACAGCAACGAAATCGGCGAACTGCAGGTGAGTGAGTGACAGGACTGGGAGAGAGTCATAAACAATGCACAAAGATGAGAACATAGAGCACAAAGGTCTTACTAAAAAATTACAATAGCTAATAACGCCTCACCAAAATCAATTATGTACAGTTAAAATGATCATTTAAATTGAAAAATGAAGTAAAATACAAATATTTTGTGCATGGAGGCTGCAGTTTTATGCACCTTCTCATTGCAAGGAGGAGTGTTCACCAAGAGGATGTTCTAGATTATGTTGGATATGTATATGATCTAGCGAGCTGCCTTGATTCCTACTGCCTATATAGGGAGATAATTATGTAAGTAGTATTTTAACCAAAATACACGCTTATAAAATAGCTTATAGTGCCGCTGTAGTTAGAGAATGATCACATTATCAATTGTTCTCACCACCTGTGCACTAATACCAGCTAGCTAACAACGTTTGACAGAAGAATGGTAACAAACTCGCTCTAGATTGCTGAGCAAAGAAGACACAGAAAGTGGTTATTTCTGCCGTTTAATCTACTTTTCCTATTTGCTGATTGCATCCAACAATATGGGTAGCATGGAGCTTCTTTTACACAGTGATAGGAAACATGGTAGCTCACAGAAAGCTCCGATTCCACATACTGATCCATTTTACTGCCCTATGTGGACGTGCACACTGACCAAATACTCTGTGGTCAGATTTTAATCAGTTATTCACCAATGTTTCTCAATGCAATGCCCAAACATTCAGTCTGTTAGGATCAACTAGCTGGTCATTTGAAACTACAGCATCAGGTGGCAGAGCTAGCTACCATGTTAATTTTGCAAATAAATAATTAAAAATAATAAAACGGTAAAAAATAATGATAAAACAAAATATTACAAAATTAAAAATATTTGATTTGCCTTATTAAGGATACATGATGCTGCCTTAGCCTGTCCATTGTGTTTCCTGCCTTCCGCCCAGTGAGCACTGGGATAGGCTCCAGCATGCCCTGTGACCCAGGAGGATAAGCGGCTTAGATAATGTGTGTGTGGTTGGGTGTGAGTGTAATGCTGCCCTAAAATTTAGCCAAAATGGGGCACCTTAGAAGGCACCATATTACAGAGATCTAAGAAATGAGACAGACTTCATGTTGGGAGGATCCAGTTGGGATTTAAAAGGCTGCCTAAGTAGATGCTCTCCAGTTACTGGAGCACATTGATGTACATGCTAGCAGTAACTCTTGGAATGTCCTGTTTGGCTGTAGGAGACTATCCAGCAGCTGGAGGACGCCCTGCGCAGTACTAAGGGAGAAATGTCCCGTCACCTGCGCGAATACCAGGAACTGCTAAATGTCAAGATGGCACTGGACATAGAGATCGCTGCCTACAGGTCAGAGAGGCCTTCCTTTCTTTAGTACTATGGAGTTCAAGCTCTTTCTGGTATAAAGACTGTCAGTCCACAGCCTTGACCACTTTTCTCTGATTTAACCATCTGTCCACACTGAAATGGCGGTTTCAATCACTAAGAATGCGTCTTTTTGAAGATAAGATGTGAAAATGCCATTTTGCCATTTACAACGAAACCATTTGAAAATCATGTAAAAACACTATAGTGGATGGAAAACATGCTAATTTGGAAAACTTTTGAAGTAAAAATGGTGATATGTGCAGAAATGTTTTGAGACCGATATAAACATATACATCTAATACAGTTGTAAAACTTTTTGAAAATGATTTAAAACCACTGAAGTGGATGGAAAACTTTTTAAAAATGAAAAGCTTCTCCAAAACAATGTAAAATACTTATGTGAATGTGAAAAGTTTTCAAAAATTTGTAAAAATGCTAATGTTATTGTAAAACCTTTTGTAAATAATGTAAAAACACTAATATAGATGTAAAACCTTTTGAAAATGATTTAAAACCAGTGAAGTGGATGGAAAACCTTTTGAAAATGATTTAAAATGGTAATATGGACAGAAAACTTTTCCAAAACAATGTAACATGCTTATGTGGATGGAAAATGTTTGAAAACAATGTAAAAGCACTACTGTGGATGTAAACTTTTTGGAAATTATGTAAAAATGCTGATGTAAAAATTCTGTGGGTATGTAAAACTTTTTGAAAATGGTTTAAGATCAAGTGGATGAGAAACTTTAAACTTTTTCAAAACAATGTAAAATGCTTATGTGGATATAAAACCTTTTGAAAATAATGTAAAAACATTACTTTGTTCAAAAGACTTTTTTAAAAACAATGAAAAAAGGCTAAAGTGGACAGAAACTTGACATGAAAACAGCATTTTTGTTTTAATAGTGATGACAACACTTAAATCACTTAACTCTCTCTCTCTCTCTCTCTCTCTCTCTCTCTCTCATGCTCCTTAAAGGAAGTTGCTGGAGGGTGAGGAAACCCGTCTGAGCACTGTGGGCGGGACTTTGCTCCAGTCCGCCTACTCCGGCATCTCCTTCACACCAGGACGCGCTTTCACTTTGGGCACTTACAGGAGGGGCGTGGCCAAGCCTGCTGAGCAAGAGGAGGAAGAAGAGGAGGAGGCAGAGGCTGAGGAGAAGGAAGAGGAAGAAGAAGCAGCAGAAGAGGAGGGAGAAGGAGAAGCAGAAGGAGAGGGTGAAGGAGAAGGAGAAGAAGAAGGAGAGGGAGAGGGAGAGGGAGAAGATGAAGGAGAGGAGGAAGCAGAGGAAGAAGCAGAGGAAGGAGAAGAGCAGGAAGAGGCTGAGGAGGGAGAGGTGAATGGAGAGGCTGAGGAGGAGAAAGAGAAGGAAGAGAAAGTAGAGAAAGAGGAGAAGAAGGAGAAGAAGGAGAAGGAGGAGGACAAGCAGAAAGAGAAGGAGGTGGAGAAGGAGACGAAGAAGAACGAGAGCAAGGGCGACAACAACAAAGTGGAAAGCAAGAGCGAAAAGGCCGAGAACAACAAAGGAGAAAAAGGCTCTGCGGCCAAAAGCAAGTAGAGCTCTCGCTGCTCCACTGCTGCCCTCCAAACACATATCCACCGGACTGCAATCTCCTTTACCTCTCTGCTCATCACACCCACACACTCACACAAGCACAAACACTCACACGCGCATGGAAGTGCACCCACACCATCAGCGCACCTCATCCGCTCACCATCGTCCATCTCTGGGCACTGTAAGGTTTACAAGCGGTCTGGAGCGCTCTTATTAAAAGGGCTACTTAAAGGGTTCTTCAGTAAAAGAACCATTTGAAGGCTTAAATCAGGGGTATCAAACTACCAACCTGCTTCATACAGCTTCATACAGTATGTCACGTATTTACAGTTAATCCTCAAATTCACAAACTCACAAAAATACGGCTAAATATTTACATTTGATGGTTAGATTTGCTTCTCCCACCAGACACTGTGACTCATTTCTCAACAGGAGCTCTATATAATCAGCTTGGACTGATGATTCTGATGTTAAAAGCAGTGCATGCAAGAGGAACCATTTAAAACCTGAAGCTGTGGAAAGTCATGGTGTAATTTAGCTAGTGTCCTAATTTAGACTGATAGTTAAATCTGCCCACATGGATTCATTCATGACACAGCTGTAACACACCAGGGTGCTTACGCTACACGAGTGAGGTTTGAACTCACGGCCCTTATGTTAGTAGTTTGTAGCGCTACGGGTCAAACCACCTGGCGGACACTAGAGGACAGCCTCAAGTGCAGAGCAGTTGAGGGTTGGGAGAAAGGTGCAACTCGGAAAAGAAATGAAAAAGGGCCAGGAAACAAACTAGAGAAGGAACAAATTAAAAGGCGAACACAGTTAACAAGGAAGAGGTGGTGTGGTCAAACCCTCAATCATGTTCCGTAGCATGTTGCCTTGTTGCTGGAGAACAATTTGAGAAAAGCATAGACTCAAAATTGATGCCGAAGTTACTGGCTGAGTCAGAGCAACATGCACGTGGCAGGATGAACTCAAGACTGAGGAGCGAGCAGTGTGTGAGCACCCCTTAAGTAGGGTGCCCACAGCTGCTACCACTCAGCCCTAATTACTAAAGTCTTGGCTCTCCAGCCCCTGGTAGCAGCCAGTGGTGGCCTAGCAGGTTGCCTGTACGTCACAACAGCAGTAAATACAGTGTGTTAGGGACATAATTATCAAATAGGTCCACTAAAAAAAGCAGATTTAGCCACTTTGCCAACACATCACTAGAATGTCAGAATAAAAGTCCCATATAACATACATTCTACTTGTAAAAGTAAGTGTTCTTGATGTAATTACACTAGTATTTATGAAACACTATGTGTAGATATTACTATTAGTAATAATAATACTAATAATACTACTAATAATAGTAGACAATTGTGGTGACAATTTGCTAATAAACACACACTAAGATGTGCTTAAATGAGTGTATGTGTTATGTAGTTAAAATTAACTTGTTGGGCACTTTTTTCCCTGCATTTTTTCATCCGCCTCCCCTCGGAGAAGACCACCTAGCTAGTGGCCCCCGAGTAATTCGAGTTTGAGACCCCTGGCTTAAATAGTTCTTTACATGGTTAGAGCACTCTCTGTACTGCCAAAAAGCATTCCACTGGAACCTTTTTTGGGTACTTTATACACTATAAAAGTAACGGTGCCATAGAAGAACCTCTTTTGGTTCCCAAAAAACTGAGCTGTTCTTTAGCAAACTATTTGTATGTCTGAGAAGCCTCTTAAATTGGCATACAATATTTACATTACGTTCTTCTATGGCAATGATCAAAGAGGAACCACTTAAGAACCATGTATTAAGAACAGATGTGTGAGTGTTCCAAGAACCCTTAAATTGGTGTAGAACCTTTGCATAATGTGAAGGGTCTTTAAACTTTTAAATGTTCTTCTCACTTACAGATCTCTTCTTCTAACAGGTTCTTTAGGGGAACAAAAGTGGTACTTTTAGAGTTGCTCAAAGAACCCTTTGTGGTGCCATTTTCTAAGAGAATAGAAAGCGTATTTTTAAAAGCGTACAGTTGCATAAACAGCAACAGACAGCTTCGTTCACAACAGAACCGTGGTGATCAAATGGATTCATTCAGAGTAGCTGCAGGACGTTCATGCACTTAGCACACTCAAGACACATTAGTGACCGCAAAAAGACATTCAAATGTTTAACAAGAACAAAGAAAACGCATGCGTTAATGTGACAGTAATGAACGAGAGTGTGAAATGGGGTCCAGAGACCACAGTGCCCAGTCACTCCATTCTTCAGTGTGCCATTATTACACAGAAGTAGGTGCTGGATGGGATAAGAGTGATTGAATAAGGCTCAATGAATGATGTAGGCTGGACGCGTACACTGACCTTCACTGCAGATGAACCGTCTTCTTTGGTTCCAACTTTTTGGTGCTATTAGATTTAAACAGCGAGTTGGACATTGATGGGTTCAAAAGGCACAACATAAAAACAGCAGGTGCTTCGTTGAGGTCTTCAGTGAATGTTACCAGCCAAGAAACCACACTCATCACCCCAAATATTCACCCCTTTACCCCAATGTTCACCCCAAAGTTTACCTTATTTACCCCCAGTGTGCACTCCATAACTCACCCTGTTTATCCAAATGTTCACCGCAAAATTCAACCCATTTGAACCAAAGTTCACCCCAGAGTTCACTCCGTTTACCCCAGTGTTCACCCTAGAATTTACCCCATTTACCCCATCTTCAATAATACTAGAATAGCTATGTACACATTCCTCAATGTCCATGTCTTTGGGCTGCGAAATTGCCCAAGCTCATTTCTACCATTCATTTCCTGAGAAAAGATGTTTTAATCTTCTTTATCACTCTATCAGTTTTCATAAGCAGCACTAAATCGTCCATCCATCTTCTGTTTATTTATTTATTTATTTTTTTGCAATAGTCACGGCACAGCGACAGTGGCTACGTTTAGGATTTAAAGACGATCAGTTTATTGAGGAGGGCTTTTGGAGTTTAGATCTGAGACATGGGCGTGCATTTTGCATCCAATGCCGTCCCTCCAGGAATGAAACGTTTAGAGATTCTGAAGACTTAAAAAGACTGCTGCTATTTATCTTCCTATTCCTGCTACTTTTATGTTCGGATGAAAAACAAATCCTCCTCTTGATTGGTTCACTCTCCTACTGAGTCACTTTCTTCCATTCTCCCAGATCTCATGCAAGAGTCTCCACCCCTATGCAGATAAAATGAAATATTCCACAATATAAATAAATTGTAATGACATTGTAATATTTTATATTTTAAGATTTGAAGCACCTCATTAACCTAGCTCACTCGTGTTTAGCAGGCTAAAGAGTCTCCACAAGGGGGCACTATTAGCATTCAAGAAGCTTTTGGTCCATCATGAGCTGAATTGCAAGTGTTTGTACAGATAAAACTCTGAGGGCCAGTTTCCCAGACTTGAGTTCAGCATAACCCAGGACTAAAATGAATTTCTAATGGTGATACCCCAGTGCCACTGCAGTTTGTACCAAGACTGGGCTTAAAGCGTGGCTGGGAAACATAGTGCGCAGTGCAGTGGCTCTCCACTCCTGAAGTTGAAGGACACAGCTCGAAAGCAGTCTGTGAAGTATATGCTTGAAGCCTTTCTAAGCTTTACCAGCCTGTTCTGTCAATTACATGCTTTCCAGTTGTGCTCCAGTCCAAAATAACATAGATGTTCCACAAGGGGGAGCCGTTAGCACTCAAGTAGCATTTTGTGAATCATTACAAGAGATGAAACCCACACCAGCAGGATTTTACATATTCTTGCTGTCATAAATTCAGATATCAAAGGCATTAGGTACCACAGGGAGTGCCTCAGCCTCTCTTTGGGTGTTCTACTGATTTTAGACTACAGTTCGGCCGAGTGAAGCACAGAATTAAAGCAGTTAAGCCCTGAACAGTGTTTTAAATGTTTCTTCCACCTAAAAAAGTAGTTCCAGCAATTTAGACTTAAGCAAGCATTGTTGTTGCTTAGCAAAGAGCGGAATGAAATATACTGTGAAAAGTTTTCCATTAGCTCAGCCTGAGAACTAAAAACTTCATGTGGTAACAAGAAGGTAATTTGGTTTTATTCAACTCAGATATCTTTAATGAAACTGAATTAACATGTTAGATGAACAAATTGGTGGATTGAATTGGATTAAGCAGGACAGCCCTGCTTAATCCAATTCTAACCACCAAACAATCATCTTTAGTGGAAAGATTTGATTATTTTAAGTGTCCAGATATATTTTCATGCTTGACAGGTGTCATTTGGAGTGGCATGGACATTTAGAATGACTGTGTATGTGACAGTAAAGGCCACTTCTCAGTTTGCTATGATATTTGGCCACTTTACTGTGTATCCTGTAGCAAAATGGTCTACTTCCTAGATCTTTCCTATCATCTACTCTAAGCAAACAAGAGAGAGAAAGTGATATTATGACACTAAACACTTGTGACGGCTGAAGGACATCGTCCATGGCTTCATTACCGACTGAAGTAGGAGGTGAACCAGTTGATTGGAGGATGTGTTTTTTCTTTTGCATGGCCTGACCCTTGGAGCTTGGCAAAATAAGACAGGATGGGATAGATTTGCTTGTTGTGTCTATAAAAATAATGTATGTACTGTAATTGCCTTAATAATGAGAGAACTGCATTAAGTAAAAAAAGGTCCTGCACTTTTCTGCATTTTCACACTGTTTCAGAGAGGGTTGAGGGGAGGTGACACCACATTGAGCAATCTGCTAATCTACTGCAACCCAGTGAGCTGCTATCTCCATACAGTGATCTTCTCAAAGCCAAATAAAGCCATTTACCAACCAAAATCTCAGCATGTCTGTGGTTTCTGAGTCATTCTAATGTGCAATAGCTGAAAAAAGGGGGACAGCCGTGCCACCTTGGGGTACATACATATAATACATGTTGGCCTTTACAATGTGTGTAAATTTCATGGTGATTAGACCAAAAGAAACGGCCCAAAATTACTTGGAAAAAAGTCTGGTTCTATCGACTTACATTAAAAGTAAAGTACATTTTTTTCCATCTCCTGTAAAGTTCTCATTTTGGAGAAAAGAGGTTTCTATCTATCTATCTATCTATCTATCTCTTTATATATCTATATATCTCTTTATATATCTGTATATATATATATATATATATATATATATAGATCAGAATGTATATTGCTATGCACATATAATTAAGCTAACTCACTTTAGCATTTTAAACTGGTAGTGATTATCATTTGATTTGATTAAAAATAAAACACTATTTTTTTAAAGTATTTTTTAAAAGTAATTTTAATTTAAAAAATGAGGCCAAAATGTTTTAGTCACATTATGCAAATTCAAAAAATTGTGATTTTATTATAGCATTTTAAAGTAAACAGCAGCCTAGAATATCTTACCCAAATTAGATCAGCAGATACTTAATAAAAAAAAAAAACTTTTCAGTCAAAAGTTCCCCCTATTTTTTAGTATTGCATCTAAGTGAGGCCTATGAAATACAGTTACAGTTGAGCTCACTCAAAAAACAGTGAATGGAGCTGCTTCCTTATATGCTGAAATGGCTTTTATTTTTGATTAGTATTTTTAACTCTGTTCTTTGCCCGGTTGAGTCAGTTTCCACCTACAGACTACAGAGTCCACGATCACACAATGCCCCCAGCCTCATGATCTCATGCCTTTGCAGTTACAGGTAACTTCATCTGTGCACAGACTTTATCTGCTCATCTTTGTCTTTATCTGTTCTTTATTTAAGCCCTCTGTCTGAGCCTGAGGGACTGTTTCAGCTCAGATCACTCTGCTTTGACTGAAAGACAAATTCCACCGATTTCTCAACTTTTCTATATAATTAGATGGTTAAGATCTAAACAGAGTCATTCAGAGTGGTTTGGTGTGAAACGTTCCGTTCTGGAGAGACTTCCCGAGTCAGAACTGTTCACAGTGGTGGTGATAGGAACCAGACGTCAGCCTCAGAAAGTTACTACATGAAATGGTTATGTATTCACTGCCTGATGACTGAGACACTGTTTTGTGATAGTTTTTCGAAAAGCCTTTGGCATTAATCATCAAATCCATTTACGGTGGAGGGATACATGGAATGTGTTGTAAGGCAAACTAGCCCCCAATGAAAACATTTTCCCAGATTTTTTTTTTTTTTTTTGAGTAAACCTTGCCTTAAATTCTTTTGTTGACCTAACCTAAGATGCAGTACTAAAATGTGAGTTTTTAAATGCGAAATTTGGTCACCACTTTGGAAATATGATGGATTTTAGATGTGAATTTTATTAGAACTTCATTTCTCAGTGCTATACAACTTTCTCAGGCTTCTGGACATCTTCCTGGTGCCCTACTAATGATTTTTGTGATTTGATTATAGCATTTTAAAGTAAACAGCAACCTAGAATATCTTACCTAAATCAGACTGTTGATAAGTTTAATATAGTTAAAGTCTGCGCTGTGTTGTTGCCTGTATTAGCTACAAAATGCAAATATCAGATCAAATATTCAGATCAGCAGATACTTAATAAAAAAGTAGTTTTCTCAACTTGGTTCAGCCAAAAGTTCTATTTTTTGGTGCCCTACTAATTATGTAAAAGCTGTGAAGTTGTACCGGACTGACATATGAGAATCATTTCACATGCATCTGCAACCACATTGGTTTTGCATTAATGATTAATGAATTATCACAAACTTTTGAAGAGTCGTGTGCGTACTTATGTGCCAGAATACAGATGGATAAATGAATGACAAATTAATGACTGATGATCAAGTAGAAAATGAAGTAACAACAAATAACCTTAAAATATTTGTATCAGCTTGTGTCTCGCCTCACCACACACACACACACACACACTCACAGCTCCTGTGTTTAAGTGACTCATAATTTTGCCCAACACCTGCCGTCCTGATAAGTCTCCATGTGTGGGCAGACTTTCAAAAACAAGGACACGGAGAGCCTTCGTCTGCCATTAATTCACCTTTGAGTGGAAGTGTAATTATGCAGGGTGGGCTGTGGACCTGCTGCTCTTTTAGCCTGACTTTACTCCGGCTCTGATTTATGCTCTTATTCCAGCTGGCCCTGCGGGTGTGGAGAGAGACGGGCCGTATTAATTATGCATGAGGCTCCTAAACAGCCACAGTGCTGACGGCATCTCTCCCCATCCAGACGGGACGAATGAGAAGAAGCTCTGCTGGGATCCATCACGACCCTGCTGCTCCCACAAACCTGAATAAACCTGCAAAAACCTGCATATACCTGTGTGAACCTGCATGTCCTTGAATAAACCTATGAATATGTATAAACTTGCACAAAGATGTATAAACATGCATAAATATAGTGCATGTTTATACATCCTGCATAGACCTATACAAACCTGTATAAATCTGCATAAACTTTTATAGACCTTTATAAACCTGTTTAAAGACCTGTACAGACCTGTAAAACCTGCATAGACCTGTGTAAACCTGTGTAAATATATAAATATGTACCAACCTCTATAACCCTATGTGACCTTCATATACCAGTATGAACCTGTTTAAACCTGCATGATCTTCGTAAACCAGTGTGAGCCTGTATAACCTTCACTATCTTTTTAAACCAGTACAAACCTGTATAAACCTGCAGAAACTTCATAAACCAATATGAACCTGTATAACCCTGCATAATCTTTATAAACCAGTATAAACCTTTATAAAACTTCATATCCTTTATAAACCAGTATGAACCTGTATGACCCTTGATAATCTTTATAAACCAGCATGAACCTGAATAAACCTTCATAATCTGTATAAACCAGCAAAAACACGTATAAACATTCGTAATCTGTACAAACCAGCATGGACCTGTATAAACCTTCATAATCTGTGTAAACCATTATGAACCCATATAAACCTTCATAATATGTATAAATCAGCATGAACCTGTATAAACCTTCATAATCTGTATAAACCAACATGAACCTGTGTAAACCTTCATAATCTGTATAAACCAGTATGAACCTGCATAAACCATCTTAACCTGCATAAACCATCTTAACCTTTATAAACCAGTATGAACCTGTATAAACCTTCATAATATGTATACACCAGCATGAACCTGTATAAACATTCATAATCTTTATAAACCAGCATGAACCTGTATAAACATTCATAATATGTATACACCAGCATGAACCTGTATAAACATTCATAAACTTTATAAACCAGCATGAACCTGTATAAACCTTCATAACCTTTATAAACCTGCATGAACCTGCATAAATTTTAATAATCTTTATAAATCAGCATGATATGTATAAACATTCATAACCTTTATAAACCAGCATGAACCTGCATAAACCTTAATAATCTTTATAAACCAGCATGAACCTGTATAAACCTTCGTAACCTTTATAAACCAGTATGAACCTGTATAAGCCTTCATAATCTGTATAAGCCAGTATGAACGTGTATAAACCTTCATAATCTGTATAAACCAGCATGAACCTGTATAGATCTTCATAACCTTCATAAACCAGTATGAACCTGTATAACCCTTCGTAATCTTTACAAACCAGTATAAATCTGTATAAACCTGCTTTAAACATTTTAATTTATTTAAACCGCATGAATCCTGTGGTGTGATCTGTCTAATTGGTACGGATTCTCCTTCTACTCCCTCTCTCCTATTTCTGTCATTCATTATTCCTTTTGTCCTCTTCTTTCTGTCCTTCTCTCTCTTTATTTTATTTCTGCCTCCCCCCTTCTCTCTCTCATTACTTCTGCTCTGCCCTTCACACTCTCTCCCTTCCCTTCTCTCCTTCTTCCTTCTTCCTTCTCTCTCTGTCCTTCTCCTGCAAATAACCGTGACTGATCTGGCTGAATTGTGGCTCACATTGCGTACAGAAGGGTGAACACAGAGACGTGACGCAGCAGAACAGAGCAGAAGACAAAAAATTGGAATGTGTGCTTAGTTGCACTCAGTGCCCTCCTCCCCCGCGGAGCACAGTGACTCAGCAAAGCCTCCGGCTGCTGAAAGCACACAATGAAATATTGAATCACCTAAATTCAGGGCAGGTTTCATCACCACCAGCTCATGAGGCTCTACTCTCAGTCCTCAGATCAAACTGTGAGTGAATATTGATTCATTACGCTGCTGATTCTACTCACACATCAATCATACCGCACAGAAATGAGTCACTCGTGTTTATTCATAAACGCACAGCAAAACACCAAGCGATGAATTATCATCTACAGGGTCGAATTAACATTTACAACAGGGGTGTCCAATCTTATCCACCAAGGAGGGGGACACATGATCAGGACTTAGCACAAGTCGAATTAGGTGACCTCCTGCTTGTTTGGGATGAAAACCCGCAGCCACACTGCCCCTCTGTCGACAACACTGGACACGTCAATGTTAAAGAACAAAAAGTTTTGGCGGAAATGTGTAGATGCATGTAACATACAGAAAAACATTTTGTAATGTGGGTTATGCTTTAGAAACCCCCTCTGAGCAGATGAATCTGATGATTGAAAGAGAATTCGAGGAGAACTCGAGGAGACGTCTTCTGAGGAGGTGAGTGAATTATCTACTATCTACTATTATCTACTCTGTATCTCAGAGCAACGCAGAGAAACTTGTTCTTGCATTTGTTACATGCAAAGTTGATCACTGTTGTCACGCCTCAGGAGGACTCAGACTACATTGCCCACAACCCCTCGGGAGATCATATGACTTTAGATGGTTGTGCACGCACCTATCAGCGCTCACATTCACCGGAATACTAAATACATTCACCTGTGTTTATTGTCATATGACCCACATAGTATAGCTTATAAGC